CCATTCTGTGGGCTTCTGTTTTGTCTTGTTGACTGTGTCCTTTGCCTTACAAAAGCTTCTCAGTTTCAGGAGGTCCCATTTATTAGTTGTCGATCTCAGTGTCTGTGCTACTGGTGTTTTATGTTCAGGAAGCAGTATCCTGTACCAATTTGTTCCAGGGTACTACCTACTTTCTCTTCTAAGAGGTTCAGTGTGGCTGGATTTATGTTGAGGTCTTTGATCCACTTGGACTTAAGTTTTGTGCACTGGCGATAGACATGGATCTACGTGCAGTCTTCTACATTCCAGCATCCAGTTATGCCAGCACCATTTGTTGAAGATGCTTTCTTTTTACCATTGTATAATTTTAGCTTCTTTGTCAAAAATTCATAGGTGTGTGGGTTAATATCAGGGTTTCCAATTCAATTCCATTGGTCTACCTATCTATTTTTGTGCCGATACCAAGCTGTTTTCAGAACTATAGCTCTATAATAGAGCTTGAAGTCAGGAATGGTGATGCCCCAGACATTCCTTTATTGTACAGGATTGTTTTGGATATCCTGGGTCTTTTGTTTTTCCATATAAAGTTGAGAATTATTCTTTCAATGTCTATGAAGAATTGTACTGGGATTTTAATGGGGATTGCATTGAATCTGTAGATTGCTTTTGGCAAGATTGCCATTTTTACTATGTTGATTCTACCTATCCAAGAGCATGGGAGATCTTTCCATTTTCTGGTATCTTCTTTAATTTCTGTCTTTAGAGATTCAAAGTTCTGGTGTACAGGTCTTTCACTTGTTTTGGTTAGTATTACCCCAAGGTATTTTATGTTGTTTGTGGCAATTGTAAAGGGTGATGTTTCTCTGATTTGTTTCTCAGCCCATTTATCGTCTGTATATAGTAGTGCTACTGATTTTTTTTTTTTAGTTAATTTTGTATCCTGCCACTTTGCTAAAGGTGTTTATCAGCTGTAGGAGTTCCCTGGTAGAGTTTTTTCAGGTCACTTATGTAGACTATCATATCATCTGCAAATAGTGAGAGTTTGACTTCTCCCTTTCTAATTTGTATCCCCTTGATCTCCTTTTCTTGTCTTATTGCTCTAACTAGAACTTCAAGGACAATATTGAAGAGGTATGGAGAGAGTGGACAGCCTTGTCTTGTTCCTGATTTCAACTGGATTGCTTTGAGTTTCTTTCCATTTAATTTGATGTTGGCTGTGGGTTTGCTGTATATTGCTTTTATTATGTTTAGGTATGTTTCTGTTATTCCTGATCTCCCCAAGACCTTTATCATGAAGGGGTGTTGGATTTTATCAAAGGGTTTTTCAGCATCTAGTGAGAGGATCATGTGGTTTTTCTTTCTCAGTCTGTTTATATGGTGGATTACATTGATGGATTTTCGTATGTTGAACCATCCTTGCATCCCTGGGATGAAGCCTACTTGATCATGGTGGATGATTTTTTTGGGGGGGGGGCTAGTGCTTTGCTTACTAATTAGTAACAAGCTTGCTTCTGAAATCAATCCTGGATCCTTCTCCCTCCCCCACCCCCCACTAACCCCTCCAAGTCCCCATCCACTCCCCCCCTCCACCCTCCAGGGAGGGTGAGGCCCTCCATGGGGGATCTCCAAAGTCTGTTATATCATCCCAGGCAGGGCCTAGGCCCTCCCCCATGTGTCCAGACTGAGAGAGCCTTCCTCCATGTGGAATGGGCTCCCAAAGTCCATTTGTGTGCCAGGGATAAATACTGGTCTACTACCCGAAACCCCATAGATTGCAGAAGCCTCCTTATTGACACCCACGTTCAGGGGATCTGGATCAGTCCCATGCTGGCCTCTCAGCCATCAGTCTGGGAGAGAGTGTCCCATAAGTTTGGGTATGTTGTGTCTTCATTCTCACTGAATTCTAGGAAGTCTTTAATTTCTTTCTTTATTTCTTCCTTGACCCAGGAATAGTGCAGCTGTGCATTATTCAATTTCCATGAGTTTGAAGGTCTTCTGCAATTTGTGTTGTTGTTGAATTCTAACTTTAAAGCATGGTGGTCTGATTAGATACAGGAGGTTATTCCAATTTTTTGTACCTGTTGCGGTTTGTTATGTTGCCAAATATGTGGTTGATTTTAGAGAAGGTTCCATATGGCGCTGAGAAGTTATATTCTTTTGTGTTTGGATGGAATGTTCTATAAATGTCTGTTAATCCCAATTGGGTCATAACTTCTATTAGTTTCTTTGTCTCTTTGTTACGTTTCTGTCTGGTGGTCCTGTCTAGTGGTGAGAGGGGTGTTGAAATCTCCCACTATAGGTGTGTGAGGTTTTATAATTGATTTGAGGTTTAGAATGTTTCTTTTATGAATGTGGATGCCTTTGTATTTGGGGCACAGATGTTCAGAATTGAGACTTCATCCTGATGGATTTCTCCTTTGAAGAATATGAAATGACCTCCTTCATCTCTTTTGATTGACTTTAAGTTAGTCTAATTTGTTAGATATTAGGATTGTTACCCCCGCTTTTTTCTTGGGTCCATTTGATTAGAAAATCTTTTCCCAACCCGTAACTCTGAGGTAACGGCTGTCTTTGAAGTTGAGGGGTGTCATAGTGGTTTTTCTGTTGTTGAATGTGTTTTTGTATTGTCTTCTTCCCATCCCTTCTTCCAGTGGGTACAGAAGGAGTCTTTTCCTTTCCTGGTGGGTACAGGACCAAGGTTCCCTTCCGGTGGGTGCAAGCAGGTCCAGTACTCTGATGGCTCTCCTCTTCCTCATCCTGTGGACAGAGTATGGGACTAGGGCGCTGGCTGGCAATCTCTGGCTGGGCTGGACACTGCCAGGATGGGATCCACAGCATGCAGTCCCCAGGCCTCAGGTGGATCTGAGCAGAGTACCGGCCACCATATTGCTTTATCTAGCACCAAAATCTATGTTCCCAATCAAATACAGCTTTCTCTCTCAGTTTCTGTGATACAGTAAATTGCTAATATTAAAAGGGGAAGATGAGACAGTGGCTGTTTCCTCTTCAGAACACACTGGTGAAAGCTGATAGAGTGGTCATCTCTACATAGGTCTCTCTGTGTTTCAGGACTGCTGATAGGGGAATTCCTGTCCACAGTCCTGAGTAAGGAAGGCATCGACACCCTAACCCACCTCCCTAGGGGGAGTGCGGAGGCAGAACTCATGAGCATTGTCCCAGTGTTCTATGTTTTCCATTATCTGGAAGCAGGAAACCATTGGAACATCTTTCACCCTGACTCGTTAACTAGAAAACAGAACCTGCAGAGAAAAATAAAAGAAGGTAAAACATTATTTTATGCACTATTTTTATACATCATTTTATAGATTTAAAGCAGATACTTTATTTACTGTAATATTTAAATTATTATGAATTACACATATATGATTAATTATGAAAGGATTTTAGCAACAATAACAGAAAAAAATCATGTGATAAGCCCTTTCTGAGAGGCATTTTGGTTTAACTCACCAAAACGCCTGGATGAGAAACAAGACACCTTCCAGACCCCAAGGACCACTGTCTTCCTCTTTGAATGGGAGTAGAATAGAATGTTCTTTTTGATCTCCAACCTGAGTAATTCATGCACTTCCTGTGAGAAGTGCAGTGTTGGCTGCTCACACCAAAGAGGGCCCAGCACCCCGGGGCTGACCCAGCAAGCCTGTGACGTGAAATGCTGTGTTCTTTTCATCTGGTTCTTCTTAGGGATGGTGAGCATCATGTCCTACAGAAACAGTGACTATTCTTACAGCATGTGGAAGGGGGGAAGTGCCAGTACCTGGTGAGTAACAGGGTTATCTTACGTTCTCACGAAGTAGTTGACTCATTCATTAAGGATAACAGCCACGGGATGGTGCAGATAGGCGCTTGGTGCCATGCCAGGCGACCTGAATTCTATCACCAAGCCCCATGTGGTATGAGGAGAGAAGTGACCTCCACAATTTTACACACGAATGAACAAAAATGACTTCCGTAGTGAAACTCCTCTTCCATTTGCTCAGATAGACACCCCTTCTGCACGCCTCACTTTCTCTTCCAACCTATGTCTGATCTAGTTAAAGGGTGGGGTTGCACCTTCAAACCAAGCCTGGATTTTGTTCCCCAACTTCAGTGCACCATCCTGGTCCAAGCAGCTCTCCTTCTTTTCATTCCTCTGACTTCAGACTTTGATCCCCTGAGTTTACACTCAGTATGGAAGCTGGAGTGGCCATACCACTCAGAGCCTTTTTAGATGCTTCTCATCTCACCTGGAATGGCAACCACTGTTTCCTCATTTCTCCCTCACTTACGCTCCTTGTTTTATGCTCTACTCAAGCTCTATGGTCTCCTAATTGCTCCTCAAACACATACAACCAGACATAGCTTCCACACTGGGTCTCGGCACTGACCCCTCCCTGTCTGCAATGTTCCTCCCTGGACAAGACCCAATGTCTTATTTCCCCCAGGACTTACTGAAAGTTACCTTCTTATCTTAACGATGTCACCATTGTCTCATTCTATATAAAACCACAATCCACTGCGCCCAGCACTTAACCCTTCCCTGCTCAGCTTCTGTCTTCCTTCCCATTTATTATTAACATTCTTGCTTACCTCACTTATTTGTGTCCCCATCAGTATGTGGTGTGTGGGCAGTTCCATGTGTTCCTAGGACCTTGTACCTTCAATAAATATTTATTCAGTGAGGAATAGCTTCTGCAATCCTGATCACTTCAGGAAAGAGTTTAGATGAACCAAACATTTATCCAGCAGTCTGCTTTCAAAGCAAGCCCTCCTGCTTTGACTAGATACTTATTTTATTTACTTACTTACTTATGTATTGTTTTCCCCCTTTGGAAGATACTTAATTTTAACAAACAAACAAAAAAAAAGAAACAGTTGGGAATGGTAGCTCAGAGGAGGAGGTTGGAGGATCAGAAGTTCAAGGTTGGGCTGAATCACAAGGTGATGTCTCCAAAGAGTGAAAGATACACAACACTTCACAGTGTGCCAAGTACTTCATAGGGCTTACTGCATAATACATACAGTCCTCGAGTTCACAGTCCATAGTAATTCACTGGTTTTTTAACAGTGTTTTTATGTAGCCCTGGATGGTCTGAAACTTTTTAGACCCAACCTGGATTGCATCCATTCTCCTGCCTCTCCCTCCAGAGTCCTAGGACTGCAGACATGTGCCTCCATGCCCAGCAAGTTACAGTTATTGAATTTTAGATGTTTCCCAGAATTTCACCCTTGGCTTCTTATTTCTTGTTGTCTCTCTTGCATGATCTTATCTTTGCCTGTGACATCCATCACTTCTCTGTCTACGGATCCCTGATCAACCTCTCTAATCAACATCTGGAGACATAACTTCTCTCCTAGACATTTTGAGGTGTCTAGACGCAAAGAGCTCCAAATACAATGCATTCCAAAGTCATTGCTGTTTCTCAAATATGTTTTCCTGACCCCTCACTGAACCCCTGTCCTCCACTGAATCAGAATCACCTGCTGGTTTTTAAGACCCTCCTCTTTGCTTTTGGTTCTTTGTCCAGCCTCAGCTCACAGGGCACCCATAGCGAGAGTGCCTCAAAGTGAAGCACAGGACCGCCAAAAGGTACCAAATAAGAAAGCTCCAAGGACATGAAAATTAAATATCATACTGATGGAATTAAATTAAATTTAATATGATGGAATTGGTAGGTAGACAAGAAACCTCTAGACTTCCATTTGCTGTTTGGAGCCATGTGTTAGCTTGAGCTGTTTGCATTTGTTGGCTGGATTTTGGAAGCAGTTGATGACTGTTGGGAGAGGGAAAGGGGCACAGAGAGGTGTTTTGTTTGTTTGCTTGTGTTGGTTTTTTAGCTATTCTTTTGTGCTTTGGGACTTCTGAAAACTTTTTGCTCTTTAAAATTTTATTTAAAGGGCCTGGAGAGATGGCTCAGAGGTTAAGAGCACCAGCTGCTCTTCCAGAGGTCCTGAGTTCAATTCCCAGCAACCACAAGGTGGCTCACAACCATCTATGAAATCTGGCACCCTTTTCTGGCCTTCGGGGATACATGCAGGCTGAACACTGTATACATAATAAATAAATAAAATCTTTTTAAAAATTTTATTTAAAATGCTGTTTGAAAACAAGTTAAAACAAAACTTTGAAGTGAGGAGCAAGGAGAGTCCAAAGCTTAAGGATATCAGAAGGCTCCAAGAGTGGGCTCTGGGGCCGCTAGCAAGGCCATGAGTCCTGTCCTCACGATTAGTCTGTGCTGGATGTTAGTGGACCGCTTTCTGTCTAAGTAGGTGACGTCCCTAAAGCTTCCTTGTCAGGTGGCAGATTCTGAGTCAGGGCAGAGCTTAACAGGAAGGGAGAGAGCTGCTTCCAGGGACAAATGACCCCAGATAGTCCTCAGGAAGGCACAGATGCACACATTTCCTCTTCTTAGCTCACTTTTATGGATCAGTGCTTTAACTCAAAACTGCTTGCCTCAACTCTGTGACCTTTAACTTAATGTGGCACTTTTTTTTATGTCACCAGGAGTCAACTTTTTTATTTTTTAATCATTTTTTTAATTTGAATTACAAACAAGATTGAATTACATAACAATCCCAGTTCCCTTCTCCCTCCCTTCCTCCCCTACCACCCCCCCAACTAAAATCCTACCTATCACATATCCTTTCTTCTAATCTACACATGACTCAACCTTTCTGCTCCCTCATGACCTCTGCATCCTTCCTCTTCTTCCCTTCTCATTCTCGTAGCTCCCTCCCCCCTCTTCCCGTGCTCTCAATTTGCTCAGGGAATCTTGACCCTTTTCCCTTCTCCAGGGGACCATGTGTGTCTCTCTTAGGGTCCTCCTTGTTTACTGGCTTCTCTGTCAGTGTGGATTGTAGTCTGGTAATCCCTTACTCTATGTCTGAAATCCACATATGAGTGAGTACATACCATGTTTGTCTTTTTGTGATTGGGTTACCTCACTCAGAATGGTTTCTTCAAGTTCCATCCATTTTCCTGCAAATTTCAAAATTCCATTGTTTTTTTTTTTCTGCCGCGTAGTACTCCATTGTATAAATGTACCACATTTTCTCTATCTATTCTTCCATTGAGGGGCATCTAGGCTGCTTCCCGTTTCTGGGTATTACAAATAGTGCTGCTATGAACATCATTGAACAGATGTCCTTGTTGTATGAATGTTCGTCTTTTGGGTATATGCCTAGGAGTGGAATTGCTGGATCGTGTGGTAGACTGATTCCCATTTTCTTGAGGAGGCGCCATACTGATTTCCAAAGTGGCTGTACAAGTTAGCATTCCCACCAGCAGTGGAGGTTGAACCCTTTCCAGGAGTCAACTTTTTGAGTGCTAGCTAACAGCGTCATAATCACAGATGTGCTGCTCATATTGTTGACTGAATGTCTTGAAGGTTTTTCAAATCTTGTCACTTTGTAAAATAATGAATGACTTACTCTAGAATTGCATGTCTTGTGTTTTAGTTTCTTCTAAAGAATAAAAGTATGCAAATAACCACTGTACATACAAAGCCAGGGGAGACTCCATGTTCTAAAGTGTGTGTGTGGTTTTGTCTTGAAGGTTAACAGCCTTTGCTTTGCGGGTTCTTGGACAAGTGGCTAAGTATGTGAAACAAGACCAAAACTCAATCTGTAATTCTCTTCTGTGGCTGATTGAGAACTGTCAGCTGGAAAATGGATCTTTCAAGGAAAATTCCCAATATCTACCAGTAAAATTACAGGTAAGGAAATCAAATGTGTAAATCAGTGTTAGTTTTACTTACAGACTCTCATTTTATTTCCATCCTATTATGGAGGTTAGAGGAGAGAGGAAAAGATATACAATTATCCTAGTTTCATTATGTTGCTGTGATAAAATACCTAACAACAGCAAATTCTGGGAGAAGGTTTTTCTGCTCACAGTTACAGACACAGCCCGTTGTAGCTGGGAAGTCATGGCAGCAGGAACTGAAGAGGGGAATGCTGGATGATGCCACAGGGGCTTGTCTTCTCACATCAATTAACATAATCAAGATAATTAATTATCCACAAAAATGCCCACAGCCAACCTCATCTAGACAATCCTCCATCATCCTCTTCCAGGGGACTCTAGATGGTGGCAGGTTGACAATGAGCATATAAGTCAGACATGAGGATTTTCAAATGTGTATTACTTAGTAGTGAAAGGGAAACCCAGTTTCACTGGCAGCAGGGCACTGAGTCTAGATTGGAGGAGCAGAAAAGATGAAGCTCACATGTGACTCCTGGGAGATGTAGGAGAGACAATGAAACGTGTCTGAATCTTTCTTCAAAGTTATTTCTCCTTTTTACCAAAGCTGTTCATATTTATAACATAAAACCTGTTTTCGAGTGTGTGTGTGTGTGTGTGTGTGTGTGTGTGTGTGTGTGTGTGTGTGTCCCAAAGCTTGCTATCATGAACAGTGCTGCAGTGAACATGGGAGTGAAATGCATCTTTGAGATCCTAATTCACTTTTCCTGGATATATACCCTGGAGTAGAACTGGTACATCAATAGTTTGGAGACCTCTGTACTATGTTGCACAGTGGCTGTGCTAATTTCCCAGCAATGATGCACGGTGCTTCTCTTTTCTCCATACCTTGGCAACATTCACCTCCTGTGTTTCTGTCATCTCAATGGCAACCGTGTGAGATATTGTCTCCTTGTGGTTTGAGTTTGGATTTCTCTGATGACTAGCAACAATGAACACTTTTCATATACCTATTATACTTGCAAATTTTAATTCAGAGTGAAGGAGAGGGAAGGAGTAGAAAGAGAAGAGAGAGGAGAAAGAGAGAGATTGAAATTCATTCAAAGAATTAGAATTGCACCAAGAGAATTAGATTGTGAGTGACATAAAATTCGTCTGTGGAGGTAGAACAACTCCACTGGAGATCTTGTAAGCCTGGCACTGGATCACACCTGCACTAAGAGGGCTAAATGGTGCTGCATAGTGGGCGTGGCATTTTAACAGGATCATGAAGGGGAGGTTAAAGAATCATGAGGTGTGGCTGACAGGTGAAGATGGGGCGACAGGCTAAGGAAGGCATTTGCAAAACTCCAGTGTTCTTGGGAAAGCATAAGTGTCCAGCTGGAGTGCGTGATGTGGGCACATGGAGGTGGCCCCAAAAGAGATTTGAACCAGATCGTTTCAGTTTAAAAATGTCATTTGCCCTTCTTTTAAAACTGTTTTGTTTTTAGGGTACTTTGCCTGTTGAAGCCCAAGAGAGAACTTTGTATCTTACAGCCTTTTCTGTGATTGGAATTAGGAAAGCCATCGACATATGCCCTCTAATGGTAAGAACCAGTTCTCTTTCCTGAGCCTGGCATAGTCTGTCACACACCTGGCGGGGGGGGGGGGGGCACCAATCAGAGTACACTTCATTTCAAATGCTTCTTTTACTGCTTTTCCTATTACTTGAAAATAACCTTAAGACCAGAATCACAGAGTTTCATTACTGTGATGGGTTCTGCCATGTAGTCCGGCCTGTAGGTCCATCAAGAGGTGACAAGGTAGGATGACCCCATTGCTCCGTGTTATTGATTAGTAGATTGTAGAGCTGGGATAGTAACTGGGACATTGAGGGGAGAATGAGTCAATGTGTCTAGCTCCCCTCTCTTTTTAAATTTTATTTTTGTGCATATGTACTATGTAAGCATATGTGCCTGCTTGTCTGTATGCCCACCTTGGAGGCCAGAAGAGGCCATCAGGTTCCCTGGAGCTAGAGTTATAGGTGACGGGTGAGCCACCTGATAATGGATGTTGGGAACTGAACTCAGGTTCCCTGCAAGAGCAGCCAGTGCTCTTAACCTGCTGAACCATCTCTCCAGCTCCTAGCCTCCTGCTCTAATCTCTTCTGTTACGTGTGCATTACTGTTGCCTTCAGCATTGTAGAGGACAGCCCCCGCCCCCCCCAGCATCCAATCACACTTTCATTTCTTTGGGTCATACTATTTTGTTTGCTTGGAAGCTGAGGAGATACAGAGAAGACCCACTTATTTAGCACAGAAGCTCCCCAGTGGGAGATGGGAGATGGCTCAGTCAGTAAAGTGCTTGCCACTGAGGCAGCATGAACATAAAAAGCTGGGTGCAACCTGACCACATCTGTAACACCAGTCCTGGAAGGCAGAGACTGATGATCCCCGAGAGTTGCTGGTCAGACAGTATTGCCTACTAGGAAGCTCCAAGTTCAGTGGGAGTCCATGTCCCCCCCCCAAAAAAAGGAGGTAAAGGAAGCATCCAAAGGTTAACATAGATAGCAGCCCTTTGTGGAAGAGTGAGAGCCCTGCTCTGAGGCTAAAGCACTCCTGTCTGCAAAGCCAAAGTCAACTACACATGTCCTGTAAAGGAGGGTACAGAACTGAGCTGGAACTTCAGTTTCCAATGAGGATTTGCAGAACAGGAGCCACAAAAGCTTTCTTCTGTTCTGGTAGTTCCATAAGCACCGGTGTTCACACCTCAGAGAAAATAATCAACAAGAACTCAGTCCCAGCCTTCTAGGTGCTGGTTGACACTCGTGCCCACAGGGGCCAGGTAGGATGCTAGCAAGCTCAACCTGGCTTGTCATTCATAGTGGTTCACAACAGGGACTCTTGTGAGGGTCAGAGAGCTCTGTATGCTCTGTTCCTTTTGCTGCTATGGTTCTGTTCTCTTTTGTTTTGGTATGATCCTTTTGAACACATGGCTTTGTCTCAGCTACACTGACTCAGGATGAAAATCCTGTCTACACTGTTGCATCTCCTCAAGGGGTTGGGTCAGTGATGGAATTATAAACTCAAGTGACAAACTTCTCAAGGAAAATAGGAACTCAGTGGCAGAGAGCATAGCCCAATTTGGACAACCACATGATTTCTTCTGAGATACACTCCACCCCTTCTCCGTAAAGGATTTGCTTTGTTGATTGTGTTCACAGATGTCCAGGGTCTTCACTGCCACCCATTGCTGACTGTATTCACAGGTCTCTAGGGTCTTTGTACCACACACACACACAGCAGTGTACCAGCAACCTCGAGGTTACTCCCATCAGTTTACAGATGCTGGACAAAGAAAATTAATTGTCTTCTGCTCTTGTTTCCAGAAAATTAACACAGCACTAGCTAAAGCTGACTCCTTCCTGCTTGAAAAGGCCCTGCCATCCAAGAGTACCTTCACACTGGCCATTGTGGCCTATGCTCTTTCCCTAGGAGACAAAACCCACCCTCAATTTCGTTCAGTCGTCTCAGCCCTGAAAAGGGAAGCTTTGGTTAAAGGTAGGACTCTTTCCATACTGCTTCTCAGCAGGCACTGACTGAGCACCAAGAGTCTGCACCCTGGGTAATAGGTTTCCTGCCCCCCAATAATAGGTTTCTCCACCAATGCAGTAAGCCAGTTCAATCCAAATTGGAAAGGTATAACAACAGGTTTATTTAAGCAAAGCAACTCCTGGACAGGTTCTCCATTCCAAAATCAAAGCTAGAAGAGTCAGGCCCATAAAGGAAAGCAGGGAGACTTTATAGGTTCTAGGTGAGGGGTGTCTGCTACAAGCTAGGTTTGTGCTCAAGTATGGTCAAAAGCTGAGCACTTAGGTGGAGACCTGGGCAGCTGACAGCTTCAGGGGAGGAAGCCGCAGTGGCCACCGAGAATGCGGAACTGGGCTTTTTGGCGCCTTTCCTGTGTTTGGAGACTCTCTGAGCAGTCAGGGTTTGGGGAAAGAGAGGTATGGGGCTTTCTGAATTATGCAGGGGCAAATTGGAGATTCCAACCAAACACTGGGGAGTGAGTGAGATGGAAGTAAAGTGAGACACTATCCTTACCCAGGAGAAAGCAACCATCACACCTCAAGGTGATGAATCCTGCTACTCAATCATTTATTCACTCAGCAAATACTTATTCATTCATTCAGTGCATTGCTGTTGGGCATCCTATGAATTCTTCCTGGGTGCTGGACACTGCTGTACCCTCAGTTTATTCACTCAGCAAATACTTATTCATTCATTCAGTGCATTGCTGTTGGACATCCTATGAATTCTTCCTGGGTGCTGGACACTGCTGTACCCAGGACAAATCAACAAATAAAACAGAGAAGGATAAATCCTAAGTGGCTGACTGTGATAGTGCACTCCTGTAATCCCAGCACTCAAGTCACTGAGGCAGGGGGATCCAGAGTTCCACACCAGTTTGGGCTACATGGTGAGACACTATCTCAAAGAAAAAGACAAAGAAAACATCCAGGGCCAACTGGGGGGTTGCTGCTCAGCCTGACAACCTGAGTCTAATCACTGAGATACAAGCATGCCACGGCACATTTGCACTCACTTACACACACACACACACAAATAAACAAACAAATAACATACTTATTTAAAAAAAACCCATGTTCTTATAATACTTAAATTCTAGTTGGGGAGAGGTAAGCATGAGAAATAAGTAAAATGAAGAAAAATCAAACAGGGTGTAGATGGAGTTTTCCTTGGGCTGCCAGCTCACAAAAAGTAATAATAATAACATGAAAGCTTGGCCTTACCTTAGGCTTGTTCCTACTAGTTCTTATAACTTAAATTAACCCATATCGTTTCATCTACATTCTTTTACATGGCTCGGTTACCTTTACTCTGTACTGCCCATCCTGTTTCCTCTCCATCTGGCTGGTGACTCTGCCTTTCTTCTTCTCAGTGTTCTCTCTCTGTCTGGAAGTCCTTCCTGTCTGTCCTGCCTGTCTGTTGACCGTTACACCCATCACAGCAACACATCCTCACAGTGTACAAATATCCCACAATGCAGAGAAAAGATACAATAAGGAGCTGGGTTGTGTACTTGGGATTAAGCCTCACAAGAACATGGTACAGCTGAATGTCACTCAGTGTATTCAGAGAAAGGTTTCTCTCTGCACGAGCATCACAGAGTACTTACACAAACCTAAGTACCACAACCATGTAGATAATGGGGAAAATAATGCCACATATGGGTTTACCATTAGCTGAAATATCATTGTGCAGCATATAACTGTATTTGAGTATAAAGTTGAAAGGAAGCAAGAAACAGCTGTGTAAATGCCCAGGGCCTGAGCATTCCTGGTGTTCCCATAGCAGCATGGAGGCCAGTGTGGTGCAAAGCAATGAGATGAAGAGCAGGAAGTGAGAGCAAGGAGGAAAGGTGAGCGAGATGGGAACTTAGGGGTCATTACGATGTCTCCAGGATTAAGTATACAGTTATGCAATGGTTAAGCACCTGTCTTGGTACATGTTCTGTTGTCACAATGCAGTACCGGAGTTGGGCAAAGGAAAGAGATCCAAACACACAGCTCCAGCATCATGATGGCTTCTGGTGAAGCCCTAATGGTGGGAATACAAGTGGGAGCTTTAGGGAGACAGAAGAGAGGACCGAACTAGAGTGACTAACCTATTCCCTCCAGAAAAGCATCCCTTCCTCTCTCTTCCCACCCAACCCTGGTGTCATTGAGAACAAGCCAGCTTAAACCGCAGCAGCCCAGGTGAGTTGATGAGCTGAAGCTAAAATTGGCTATGCTGCTTTCACTCTCCAGACTGTGTCCTCCATCACAGAACTGCCTGGCTCAAGGCATTAAGTTTCACTTCAAGACCCCAGAAGACACTGAACCAAGGACTGTGTGACCTGGTTTATATCTCACCAGGAGATTAAAGTGGTTGTCATGGCTGGCAGTTCCGAGCCCTGTCCCAATCTGAGTTTTGTAAATGTTTAATAAGTTTTATGTGAGGTGTATGACCATCTACAAAATTTCACTTTTGTCATTGTTTAAAAATGCCCAAACTTTAATACACACCTCAAAACCACTTCTTCAATGATTCAGAAATAGCACAAAAATGTCTGGGGTATTGTAAGGTGCATTATAAAATCATACACTTAAAAAACTAGGAGGGAACTGAATAACTCAAATAAACCTTTCATTTTAAATATGGTAAATCTGAATATGAGAAGAATAAGAAAATATTTTGTTCAGAGTCATGTAAATCATATATCAACTAATTGTAAAGATACCTCAAAATTAGATAACCCGCAAAAAAGTCAGATCTTACTATTTAAAAAAATTACTCCAAGAAAGATTTGCAGTGATTTCTTTATGTTACTAGAGCAACAGTAAATATAAGTTAGGATCTATGGTATGAAAAACATTGCACATATGAAAATATGGATACATTCTTTGGGAAGAGATAATAGAAGACCCTACCTGTTGATTTGGGTATCATCTCACACATTCCAGGCTGTGATTTTGGTGTTCCTCAAAAGAGAAAGATAATACATCAAATTATTCTTCCAGTGTGGATAATGATAATCCTTCATTTATGCATGGAGCTTGCTGACTTATAAATACGTTTTCCTGTTTATCTCTGTGAGTTTCACTACATAGACATGAATATTACCTACTCACAGTATGAGGAGCCTGGGTCCCACAGAACTAATCAACTTTCTGTGTTGGTCCAGCTGGTTAGTAGGAGAGAACAGATTAGAACCTGGTTCCTGAGTCCCAGCTTTTCAGGCTACTGCTCTGCTGTCAGCCAGTCTATGTGCTCCGGCATGCATGCCCATCCTACAATGGAGGCAAGGGGCCTAGTATTATGGGATCTCATTTTGTCTTGGCTACCTTGATGAAGTTTGAATGGAAAAAAAACTAAAAAGGAAAGGACAGGACTGCTCCTAGGTATGGTGGAGGAGAAAGTTTATTCTAGGCATTGTGGGAGAGCATAGCCAGAGGCAGGGACATCTGGGACAGTCCAGAGGGGACATGACCAGACTGAGCTGGGCCATGTGGGGAGGGGGAGGGGAAGGTAGAAAGAGGAACCAGGTGCAGCAGCCAGGAGGCCAAAGGTGCAAAAGGTGAGGGTAACCAAAATGTCTGGATTATATAAGGAAGAGCCTCTGGAGGAAGGACAGCCCAGACCCTGGGCTGGAGAGTTCAGGGTAGAGAGAGGAGCATGTCAGCCATACCCTGTAACAGGTAGGTATTGGGGGATGCTGGGAGAACCTGGTAGCCAGGTCCACTGTGATATGATAAATAGACACCTCAGTCATTTGTCTCAGGTTTGAAACTTGACAAAGTTCTGAAAAAGATGAGAACTTCTAGAGATAAGAAGGTCATCACACACCTGCTAGGTGTTTCCATTTTTACTTCTGCTAATGAATGTTGTGTGTTGCCATCAGGTGATCCACCCTTTTACCGTTTCTGGAAAGACACTCTGCAACATACAGACAGCTCTGTACCTAACAGCGGCTCGGCAGGTATGGTAGAAACCACAGCCTATGCTTTGCTCACCAGCCTGAACCTGAAGGAGACAAATTATGTCAACCCAATCATCAAGTGGCTGTCTGAAGAGCAGAGATACGGAGGCGGCTTTTACTCTACCCAGGTAACATGTAGTTCGCTTGATCTGTGCTTGTTTCTCACACCTTCCACACTCATCTGGCCTCCATGACTTTTTCCAACAAATGAGCTGCCTGCCATAGGTACAAATCAGGTCTAGAATCACAGGACCCTGGAGATTATTGGTAACTTCATTATTCAGGAAAAGAAATGAACCTAAAGAGGTTTATTCAAGGAGCCAAATCAGCACCATGTCTCCTGACTCTATGGCCCCCTGTGCTTCTTTCATTGTCTTTGAAGACCATGAAAGGCTGCAGGTTACCAGCAATTACATCACATCCTGTTTAAGAAATAGTGGTTGCCATGGAAGCAAAGGTGCTAATGATTCCTCTCCTGAATGGTGTTTAGCTATCAATCATGTTTTATGTTGTGACCCTGTTATATAGTTGGATAATGCACAATCATGTATTGCATACAATGTTTTGGTCAATAACAGACCATAAATATAATGGTGATTCATAAAATTATAATAGAGCTGAAAATTTCCTATTGCCTACTACTAGATTTGTGGCTATTATAATGTTGTATATAACACATTATGCGTTTGTGCAGATGTGAGTACTGCCAATCACATAAAAATATAACACTTAAAATTATTAATAATTAATAATTACAAATCATTATAATTAATTTATAATGTATAGAAATTTCTAATTCTAATTAATAGGCATTTATTAGCTCATGCTTCTCAAGGATGGAAAGACCAAGATTGAGGGGCTGTAATTTGGCAAGGAAATGTTTTCTGTGTCATCCCACGAAGGACAAAGAGAAGGAAAAAGAGGGGAGAGAAGAAGGAAGGGAGGGGAAGAAGGAGACGAGGGGAGAGGAGAGAGAGGGGCAAATTCATTCTTTTATACGGATAACGGCATCAATCTACTTGTGAGGGTGGTGCCTGTTGTGGAATATTACTTGAAGATGCATTACATTTGTTCATGCTGTGAAACTTTTTTTTTAATGATGCAAAGATGTGTTGCATGCTTTAATGTTGCATTTGTCTAACTCTGTGAAGCTGTGTTACTTTGCTTGTCTAAAACACCTGATTGGTCCAATAAAGAGCTGAATGGCCAATAGGTAGACAAGAGAAAGGATAGGTGGGGCTGGCAGGCAGAGACAATAAATAGGAGGAGAAATTTGGGAAGAAAGAATGGGGAGCAAGAAAAGGAGAAGGAGAGGAAGACAACAGGGGCCAGCCACCCAGCTCCACAGCCAGTAACAGAGAAAGGGAGGGAAGGAAGGAAGGAAGAAAGGAAGGAAGAAAGGAAGGAAGAAAGAAAGGAAGAAAGAAGGGAAAAGAAAAGAGAAGGCAAGAAAAGAAAAGAAAAGAAAAGAAAAGAAAAGAAAAGAAAGGTATATAGAATAGAGGATAAAAGCCCAGAGGCTTCAAATAATATACCACAACAGGTGCCCATGACCTGCACACCTCCCATTAAATCCTACCTTCCTCCACATTGCCACATTGAATATCAAGTTTCCAATTTATGAACTGAAGGATACAAAATCAACTGTAGCAAACACCAAGGAAGGATGGGTACCCGTGTGCTCCATGAATCTTACATTCTAATTGTCAGCAATCAACAACTATAAATAAAAGTGTTATAAATAGACGTGAATGCTATAAAAGGCAAGAAATGAACATTAAAACTATCATAAAGGGATGGTTTGTGGCCTTGCTGTGGGTGTGTTTAAACTGAGACTAAAGTGTGAGAAAGAGATAATCCTACGTATCAGAGGCATTTTTCAGAGTGACCTACCTGAGGATGCATGTGTGCAGAATATGTTGAGAACCCATACCTGAGCCACACTTCCTTCCTGTCCCTGATGAAAACAATGTCCTTCCTAGGGAGAGAGGGATCGTCCTTATGCCTCCACAGTGGGCCCCTCCACTCGCTTCACTCAGTCAGCTTGAGTTTCATCTCCTGACAGTGCTACCTATGACAGGCATTTGTAGAGCTAGCTGGGTGTACACAGCACTTGGGAGGCTGAAGTAAGAGTATTCCAAGTTCAAGTCTACATATCAGAATTCTATTGTCAAAACAAAAGTGGGTTATTTGCAAACTGAGCATGTATAAATAAACTAAATATGTTTTTGTGCCTTGCTAATTATTGATAGGACACAATTAATGCCATCGAGGGCCTGACAGAATATTCACTCCTGGCTAAACAACTTCATTTGAATATGGACATCAATGTCTCCTACAAACACAAAGGTGATTTCTACCAGTATAAGATGACGGAGAAGAATTTCCTTGGGAGACCAGTGGAGGTAAATGAAATATTTTGCAATCAGATGGGAGACTTTAAATCATTTCTCCCATCCTTTCTGTATGTATGCTTTTATTCACTGTTTAAGCATGCACCAAGTACCAGCCGACACATAAGCAGGGTGCCTGTTACATCTCAGGCACTGGTGACTCAAGAAAAAAATACAACAAACTCATGTCCTGTGGAGGGACAGTCATTTAAATAAGAGTCCAGAAACACCTACATGGAGGTGCAGTGGGGCCATCTGATGCAGGCTGACAGAGGTTCTGTGTAGGGAAGGGTATGTCCACACGTATGGGCTACACTGGGAGAATCAGAGAGGGGTAGCCAGGTGAAGAGAAGAGAAGAACCTTCACCATAAGTAGCAGCACACACAAAAGTGCCACTGCAGAGAAGTGAAAGACCTGCCTGGCACCTGCTGCAGGTCCCTCTTGCCATCGGTCTTGCTCATGGACTGCAGCTAGCTTGAACTTAGGTCAAGCTCCATGTCTATTTCCAAGGCTAGATTTTTTTTAAGGGAAAACTCTTAACAGTTTATGAAAACTTCCCAAAGAAAAGCATACATTAGGCAAAGTATATTCTATATTATTATTGCTGCCAGTCTACATAGGCAAATGCACATTTTTCTAATTATCGTGTGTGAATTTAATGCATTTAATATATAAGCAAATGGCAATCGTTGTAACACAATAAATAAAAGACCCAAAGACAGAGATTGGGGTTCAAGCTATAGATCAGGAAAGCAAAGCAGCCAAGCCACCAGAAAACTCTTACCTCCTACAGGGCTGAGGTGTTCCTATTCTCAGCATGGCTGGAGAATGAATGCCTGATATTACTTTGCTCCTGTCTTATATACCTCCCTAATGCTGAGATTAAAGGCGTGCCATCCTGGGTGCTGAGATCATCTTTGTGTGAGTTGTTTCTCTTTAGGACTGGATCAATCTTGTATAGATCTGGATGGCCTTGAACTCACAGAGATCCATCTATCTCTTAATCCTGAGTCCTAGGATTGAGGTGTGTACCACCACCTCCTAGCTTCTAGCTTCTGTGTGCCTGGCTTCTATGGCTTGTGACTGACTTTGCTTTCTGAAACTCCAGGCAAGCTTTAACAAATTATAAATAATATATCACCATAAATAGTCCTCACTGTCTACATGCCCTACAGATCCATGCTTATAAATAGACATGAGAAATAAAGCTTAAGCAAAAACCACAAACCAGTGGCTCATAGCAAAATAATAATACAATAGTGATAAGGACATGGCCATAGACAAAGATCTATGTCAATAGTTAGTGATGCAAACATTCAAATACAGATCTGATTCTCAACTTCCTTTTAGAAAGTTAGATCTGGAAACAGGGCATAGGCATTGGGCGTGGCTTTTTCAATCTGTACTGGTCACATGATATATGCATATGCATTGGTGTCCATATTTTTTCACTCCCTGGGACTCTGAAGGTTGCTGTGCTGACCCCTAGGTTGGGAATGTCTTTTGTCCCAGGGAACATTTAGAAGTCACTGGAGACATACTTATTTGGCAGGGGAGATACCATGATCACGAAAGTGGTTTTCCCAGGTAGAGGTTTATCCGTTGCACTCTGGATGTGCTGACCCCTGCGATTTCTCCAAATTCAGGAAACTCGACTGCATAATTTGTAGGTGTGGGGGACTGTGTTCACGCTGTCCCACCACCACCCGCAAAAAAAAAAAAAAAGAAGTCACCAGAGGCACGTGCCCTGAGTCTATGCTCTAACGAGGAGCTGTAGGTCTCAGCAGCATGTCCTATTTTCATTCCCTGTGCTGTGATAAAATATCCCCACCCCAAAAAATCTACTTAGGGGAGAAAGGGTTCTTTTAACTCAATTCTGGGACACAGTCCATCATTGTCGGGAATTCAAGGAGGCGGGAGCATTAAGCGGCTGTGAACTCGTGTTCGCAGTCCAGTGTGTGAGAATGCTTATGTTCAGCTCACTTGCTCCAGTTTTATACAATCCAGCACCCAGAGAATAGTGCCACCCACAGTAGGCAGATCTTCCTATATAAATTAGTATAATTAAGACACTCCCCTATAGACATGCTGAGGGGCCAACCCAATACAGACAATCCCTCACTGAGATGCTCTTCCTGGATGATGCTAATCGTATCAACGTGACCATCAAAATGAACCACCACAGCCTACTTCAAGTAGGCAGAATTACTTCTCTCTTTATGAGTAATGCTGTGAGGGGCCTTTTGCCAACTTACACTAGGCCCACCTCCGCGTGGATGCTGCCTGGGCCGCTGCTACCCACCTTCAGATTCTCTGCCACAGCTTTTCCTAAAATGTGTTACGTGAAGCAATGTGTGAGATTGCTGACTACTTTAAATTCAGTTAAATCTGTCTTTAATATGTTTGTTACCAAGCATGGTGACTCTGGGAGGAAGAGGGACAGAGATGGCGTATAGCACAGCATTTCCAAGACTCATCACCCCAGAAATGTCCCTCATTCGGCATCTCAAAGCACTCATCCCCTAAGCAATGCTGCTGTGTCCTGTCAGGGACAGCAGGAGAGGTGACCTATTTCCCTAGGTTTACTAAAATTTGAAGGAAAGATTGACAGACTTGAAGGAAAGTGTGCCAAGCCCCCCTTGCACCACTGTGCTAGGCAAAGAGAAATGGCTATTTCCCTAGGTTTACTAAAATTTGAAGGAAAGATTGACAGACTTGAACGTGTGCCAAGCCCCCCTTGCACCACTGTGCTAGGCAAAGAGAAATGAACCCTCAAAGTGTGGCGTGAAGTAGCAGCTGAGGCTTTGGTCTGGATAAAAAACATCTTTTCCATTATGTCCCCAAACTACCGAGTCTGTGGGTGATAGCACACCTCGAGAGAGGGGGGCTGCTTGGGGGAATCCATGTCTTCACTTTCCTCCCAGAAGAGTGGGAAGAACAGCTAAGATAGATTTGCAGTGCAATTAAGTGGAGTGGCCAGAGACTTGGGGTAGCGTTCTAGGGGCTAGGGGGGGGATGCCTGGGATTTAAATTAACACAAGCCAACGAGAAGTGGGAAGATGAGCCATCAAGAAGTGAAAGGGAGGTGCAAAGGGAGAAATAGAAGAGGCTTGAAATGTTTTGTGGCCACTTCAGAGTCTTGCATCTTGATGCTTATGAAAACAATCCACAGTGTGGCACACACCTTTAATCCCAGCACTCAGGAGGCAGAGACGGGCAGATCTCTGTGAATTTGAGGCCAACCTGGTCTACAGATAGAGTTCCAGGACAGCCAGCTGGCTCGAAAAACAACAAAAAGAGAGAGAGAGAAACAGAAAGAGAAAAAACAATTCCATTGGCACATGAGATGCTAAGTCCTGTTTGACCTCTAATGTGTTGCTTTAGTTGGCTTGCTAAGGGGAAGGACTTCCTGTTTACACATAGAAGGGAGGGGTAGGAAGACCCCAGGATCTTTTAGTGCCTGCTGTGTTCAGATCTTCAGTGTCATCCATTTAATTTCACAAGAACAAGAGAGACTGCAGGTCTCCCCCTCCTTTCTTTGCTCTCTCTGCCCTCTATCAAATGATGAGTGAAAGCATGGTTTCTCTGTCCGCCCCTCAGGTACCTGTCAATGATGACCTCATCATCACCACAGGATTTAGCAATGGCTTGGTGAGAGTATATGTGTGTATTTTATATATAGCCAAGACAGATCTGTGCACACACACACACACACACACACACACACACACACACACACACACTTTGATGGAAATGGAAAGTCACATAAATATGACTTGGATCATTGTGGATGGAGTTTCTTTCCCATCTGGCCCTGAAGCCCTTTAGCACCAAATTAACAAAGAGGCTTCTATTAATTATAAACTGTTGGCCGATAGCTCAAGCTTCTTACTGGCTAGCTCGCTCTTAAATATTAACCCATAACAACTAATCTATATATTTCTACATGGTTTCATCTCCAGCATCCTATCTTCCCAACAGCTACATGGAGTCTCCCCTGGTGACTTCTCTCTTTCCTCTACCCAGCCTTCTCCTCATCTGGTAGCCCCACCTATAATTCCTGACTGGCTACTGGCCAATCAGTGTTTTATTCATCAACCAATAAGAGAAACATATATATAGAAGAACATAAGATTACCATGACTGAAGTAAGGTTCATTTGTCTAATTCTTTCTTGCTGTCTTGACCATTGTCACAGTTTATTTTGGATAGTAACTGGTGGTCCTTGTTTGCATACTCTCTGTGTGTTTGTGGAAATTTTGTACATATTGCATATAGGCATGCAACTGCATTGTGATATTTCTGCCAACAATTGGCTACATGTATTATAGTCTCATAAGACTGCAATAGCTAGTGATGCCATAGCTATCTTAGTTTATAAAAATATACCCTATGATGTTTGCACAATGAAAAAGTTGCCTAATGAATTTTTCTTAGAAAATATCCCTATTGTTACCTAGTACACATATGTATAAATTTTATGGTTGCATGTATATTTACCAGACTCATGTTGTGTGTGTTGCATGGTTCATAACATCTCTCATTTACACATCTTTGTGTATGTCCACACAGTCTTCATTTTCTGAACAGAAATTAACATTCTATTGATTCTTTTGATGACATTTTCACCTTTGGCACATTAATTGTTTCAAGGACTGTTTATGTGATGACATGGAGGAAAATGGGCTGTTTATTTTTCCAGAAATCCTGGTTGCTGTCAGTGTATCTATTTCTGGCAAACACTCATCCAAACACATTTACAGTGAGTTGTTTGCCTTGATAGTGTGTGGAGTTAGGAGAAATGAACTCTTCTTAGGCTAGCTAAGACTAAGGTAAGACATTAAACTGTACAGGCTAAGGAGCAGATGCCTGAGAAGTCATTCTTCCCATCTGACTATGTGGGATTCAGATGAACACTGTGCTTGGCCCAAAGTCATCATTTTGTGTTTTCAAGTTTTTGTGTTTGCTTGGACTGCAGAGTTACTGATTCATTCACATGTACTAACTATGCTGGATTCCAAAAGCCAGTCTCCTCTCTCCTAGCTAGAGTGATGCCCTTTCATTTCCCATGTTACATAGTCTTCTTGTTTGTGTACCCCAACATAGGTAAAAACTGTGGTTCACAAAACCAGCATCTCTGATGAATTCTGCAGCTTTTACCTGAAAATTGATACTCAAGACATTGACGGTAAGATGACCTGCTGTTCTCTGTATTTTGGCTACACTTTGAAAATGTCAGGTAGAGAACTTTGCTAATTAGGAAACCTGTGCCTGTGAGAAGAAAAAAAAATCTTAATCTAGTTATTAAGTAGGTTGGCTTCCAAGTAACCATGACTACCATTTATTACAATAGATGTAATTTTATTAACTGTTACAAACTAATATCAAGTGGCATAGCTGCTAAGCTGAATGTACTCAGGGTTGGTGCTTTAGTACTGATATTTTTAAAGAAGACAACAGGTTGTAAGGCTCAAAATGGAATATTCCTTTGGATTTCTATTGCTTTTGGTGCCAGTAGCTTTAAAATCTCCACAAGTACCAACTTGCAGATCACAAATCATTGTTAAATGGAATTAAAGACTTTCTCATTAAGGATTCTGTCCAAGCATGCTCCAAAACAAGTAAAAAATAGTCTACTTTCTACTTTGTAATTTGTGTGTTTGTCTGTGTGCCAGCCTCCAGCTACCCCAGCCGCAGTGACTCTGGACACAAGCACATAATAGCATGTGCCAGGTGAGCCCATTTCACAGCAGGGGTAGAGGCTTCCGTGGGCCTTGCTTTCACTGCAGTACTTCAGTGCCTTTTAGTGAGAACTCAGCTGTTCATTTGTTCATTCATTCACTTGATTCTAGTTTTTTATTTTGTTTTGTTTTGTTGGTAGGTTGGTTGGTTGGTTTTGGTTAACAGTCCTGGCTATCCTGTAACTCACTTCTGTAGACCAGGCTGACCTCAAACTCAGAAATCCACCTCCCTCTGCCTCCTGAGTGCTGGGATTAAAGGTGTGTGCCACCACCACCCAGCCAGTTGTTCATTTTTAAATGCAGAATGCAGCAAGAATTCTTAAATAGCTGCTTATTCTAGAGGGCAACTCTGGGTTTGCTCACACATTGTCATCCCTCCTGGGTTTTGTCTTCTTCTGATTCCAATGGTATAATAACCTTTGTTGATCTTTCAGAATGGTAGAAATGTGATACCAGAAAAATTCTCATACACGATTCCTATCTTTTTGGGGGGAGGGGAGGGGAAGGCTGGAATCACATTTACCAGCAAAACCTCCATTCCTTAGAGCCAATTGCCCTCAGCCCAAGCTGCACACTCAGGTCAGAAACTTAAGAAGCACCCAAATGCAGCCCACATTGAGACTGTTGATGTCAACCCATCTGCTGGCAAAACCCTAAGTTGGCCACTATATTAGCTCTTATTGCTGCTAGGCAGCATCCCAGCTCGCTATAGTTTTGACTCCAGTCATCATCACCTCCTCTTGGATCATTGTGGATGGAGTTTCTTTCCCATCTGGCCCTGAAGCCCTTTAGCACCAAATTAACAAAGAGGCTTCTATTAATTATAAACTGTTGGCCGATAGCTCAAGCTTCTTACTGGCTAGCTCGCTCTTAAATATTAACCCATAACAACTAATCTATATATTTCTACATGGTTTCATCTCCAGCATCCTATCTTCCCAACAGCTACATGGAGTCTCCCCTGGTGACTTCTCTCTTTCCTCTACCCAGCCTTCTCCTCATCTGGTAGCCCCACCTATAATTCCTGACTGGCTACTGGCCCATCAGTGTTTTATTTATCCACCAATAAGAGAAACATATATATAGAAGAACATAAGATTACCATGACTGAAGTAAGGTTCATTTGTCTAATTCTTTCTTGCTGTCTTGACCATTGTCACAGTTTATTTTGGATAGTAACTGGTGGTCCTTGTTTGCATACTCTCTGTGTGTTTGTGGAAATTTTGTACATATTGCATATAGGCATGCAACTGCATTGTGATATTTCTGCCAACAATTGGCTACATGTATTATAGTCTCATAAGACTGCAATAGCTAGTGATGCCATAGCTATCTTAGTTTATAAAAATATACCCTATGATGTTTGCACAATGAAAAAGTTGCCTAATGAATTTTTCTTAGAAAATATCCCTATTGTTACCTAGTACACATATGTATAAATTTTATGGTTGCATGTATATTTACCAGACTCATGTTGTGTGTGTTGCATGGTTCATAACATCTCTCATTTACACATCTTTGTGTATGTCCACACAGTCTTCATTTTCTGAACAGAAATTAACATTCTATTGATTCTTTTGATGACATTTTCACCTTTGGCACATTAATTGTTTCAAGGACTGTTTATGTGATGACATGGAGGAAAATGGGCTGTTTATTTTTCCAGAAATCCTGGTTGCTGTCAGTGTATCTATTTCTGGCAAACACTCATCCAAACACATTTACAGTGAGTTGTTTGCCTTGATAGTGTGTGGAGTTAGGAGAAATGAACTCTTCTTAGGCTAGCTAAGACTAAGGTAAGACATTAAACTGTACAGGCTAAGGAGCAGATGCCTGAGAAGTCATTCTTCCCATCTGACTATGTGGGATTCAGATGAACACTGTGCTTGGCCCAAAGTCATCATTTTGTGTTTTCAAGTTTTTGTGTTTGCTTGGACTGCAGAGTTACTGATTCATTCACATGTACTAACTATGCTGGATTCCAAAAGCCAGTCTCCTCTCTCCTAGCTAGAGTGATGCCCTTTCATTTCCCATGTTACATAGTCTTCTTGTTTGTGTACCCCAACATAGGTAAAAACTGTGGTTCACAAAACCAGCATCTCTGATGAATTCTGCAGCTTTTACCTGAAAATTGATACTCAAGACATTGACGGTAAGATGACCTGCTGTTCTCTGTATTTTGGCTACACTTTGAAAATGTCAGGTAGAGAACTTTGCTAATTAGGAAACCTGTGCCTGTGAGAAGAAAAAAAAATCTTAATCTAGTTATTAAGTAGGTTGGCTTCCAAGTAACCATGACTACCATTTATTACAATAGATGTAATTTTATTAACTGTTACAAACTAATATCAAGTGGCATAGCTGCTAAGCTGAATGTACTCAGGGTTGGTGCTTTAGTACTGATATTTTTAAAGAAGACAACAGGTTGTAAGGCTCAAAATGGAATATTCCTTTGGATTTCTATTGCTTTTGGTGCCAGTAGCTTTAAAATCTCCACAAGTACCAACTTGCAGATCACAAATCATTGTTAAATGGAATTAAAGACTTTCTCATTAAGGATTCTGTCCAAGCATGCTCCAAAACAAGTAAAAAATAGTCTACTTTCTACTTTGTAATTTGTGTGTTTGTCTGTGTGCCAGCCTCCAGCTACCCCAGCCGCAGTGACTCTGGACACAAGCACATAATAGCATGTGCCAGGTGAGCCCATTTCACAGCAGGGGTAGAGGCTTCCGTGGGCCTTGCTTTCACTGCAGTACTTCAGTGCCTTTTAGTGAGAACTCAGCTGTTCATTTGTTCATTCATTCACTTGATTCTAGTTTTTTATTTTGTTTTGTTTTGTTGGTAGGTTGGTTGGTTGGTTTTGGTTAACAGTCCTGGCTATCCTGTAACTCACTTCTGTAGACCAGGCTGACCTCAAACTCAGAAATCCACCTCCCTCTGCCTCCTGAGTGCTGGGATTAAAGGTGTGTGCCACCACCACCCAGCCAGTTGTTCATTTTTAAATGCAGAATGCAGCAAGAATTCTTAAATAGCTGCTTATTCTAGAGGGCAACTCTGGGTTTGCTCACACATTGTCATCCCTCCTGGGTTTTGTCTTCTTCTGATTCCAATGGTATAATAACCTTTGTTGATCTTTCAGAATGGTAGAAATGTGATACCAGAAAAATTCTCATACACGATTCCTATCTTTTTGGGGGGAGGGGAGGGGAAGGCTGGAATCACATTTACCAGCAAAACCTCCATTCCTTAGAGCCAATTGCCCTCAGCCCAAGCTGCACACTCAGGTCAGAAACTTAAGAAGCACCCAAATGCAGCCCACATTGAGACTGTTGATGTCAACCCATCTGCTGGCAAAACCCTAAGTTGGCCTCTATATTAGCTCTTATTGCTGCTAGGCAGCATCCCGGCTCGCTATAGTTTTGGCTCCAGTCATCATCACCTCCACTGACTCACCTTTATCTTGCCTTTACAAAGTGCCTTGTGAGTCCAACGAATAACCCTTGACACCCCATCCTGAACCAAGTCACATGTGTGATGCCCTCATTGCCACAGATCATCACAGGCTCGGGAGATTAGGATATGAGCATCTTTGAAGACCATGAATCTACTCAGCATAGCCTACAAACTGCACTGCTCACCACAGCCTCCTTCCTGGTGTGTGTGTAAAGTGTGCATGGATTTTGAAACATACATACTTCCAGGTTTAGTGAGCACAGAGTGAACCGTCGGTAGCAAAGCCAGACCAAGGACAAGTTCCTTCATCTTCCCATCACCTCTCAGGGCCACAAGCCATGTTCTGTCCTCATAAATCTCAACATTGTTAATATCAGGTAAAGCCCAAATCATGTTTTGTTGGTTATACATACATGTAATCATACACGATACTGAAGTACCCAGTGTGGACTGAGAAAATTGGCACAAAATGTATACTAGATTCTAACTGAATGGACTTTGGGGATGACATAGGAATTCCCTGGTTTTAGAAATAAAGGAGGTAAAGAAACCAGAAAGGCCTCAATTCCCTGACCCCCCCCCTTACAGCATCTAAACTACCTCTTTCAATCTATACACTCTAAGACTGTCAATCCTGAGAAGCAGTTGCCCTCCGCTGCTGCCTTCCCAGCAGTTTCTTCTCTATGCCCCCAGCCTTGCACTTCTCTGGATTTTCTCACCGCCATGCTTCATTGCCTGCATTTCCTTCCCTCCTTAATTCTCTCTTTCCTCCCTCCTTCTCTCCCTCTTTCTCTCTCTCCCTCCCTCCCTTTCTTCCTAACTTCCTTCCTTCCATCATCTTTCCTTCCATCACCTTGGCAGATTTTACCCTCTGCTTCTCAAACCTTTCTCCCAGAAGCTTTCTTCAAGCTAGCTGCCATTCCTCCTCTTAAATCCCCTTAGCTGGGGATGAAGCCATGCCACAGCTATCTTTGACACCTGAAATATCTGTCACAGCGGTCTGAGCAAACAGAAGGAGAGCTAGAATCAGTGCACAGGACTGACAAGGCGACTCGTGGAGCTGCCTGGAGAAGAGCTCTGGGATAAGGGGTGGCTCACTCACAGGTAGCTCTCCCTGCAAACATTCCAATGGCCCTGAGCAGAGTATATCCCTTCATTCTCTGCATCTGTCCTAGGAAGCATATCGGACTGTCCTGCCTCTGAGTTTCTGCTAGTTCTGATTGTCCCCAACCCTGCTGTACACAAAACGGTGCTTTCAAAGTCATTGAACTTCTTGGAGGGGATGTCTAATCCCAGTTGTCAAAATACAAAAGAGCAAGTGGAAGCCAGGCAATGGTGTCACATGCCTTTAATCCCAGCACTCAGGAGGCAGAGGCAGTCGGATCTATGTGAGTTCGAGGCCAGCCTGCTGCACAGAGAAACCTTGTTTCGAAAAACAAAAGAAAAAAATTAAAATTAAAAAAAAAGAGAGCATGTGCAACTGTGGTGCTAGACAGCATATCTTTTGGATGTTGTTTTGGTCTTGCTTTGGTTTTTTGCTTGTTTTGCTTGATTTTTTTTAAACAAATTAAAGACAGAGGGTTCCAAATAGGCAGGTGGAAATTGCTTTTGGAACAGTGTCACTAAAGTTAGCTTGGGTGGATTCCAAAGTAACTAAGCAATCCTTATTCATTTAAGAAATTCTTTGCCTTCAAATATTCTCTCCTGATTAAAAAATTGCTAGCACACTGTACAGTCAGAGGCCTCTTTTGTGTTAATTAGTTTTGGGTTTTTTGTTTTTTTTTTAAACAACCTCTTGGTAAAAATCATAGGAAAATGGGTGGGGGTGGGGAAGGATTTCATTTCTAAATCAAAACGCCTTTGGGGAAGATTGCTAGTTTTAGCATCAGGCAAAGGGCTTCTTGGACGAAGGATTTCTGTTGCACCATTGAAACAGTCCCCATGGCAACCAATCATCGAGCTCCAACGACCTTTTCATAGACACTCTCCACCGGGAGGCCCTTTTGCACCCTGCAGACTAGTATTTGCATCTGTGAGCCAGAAATCTCTGCTTCTTCCCATCCAATTAAGGACAAGCTCAGATGTCAAGGCATAGGTCAAAGGCATCCCGTGTACCCTTCTAAATGGCTCCTTTGGTGGGGATGGAGTTACATTTTTATGAGTCAGGGATTATCTTTTTAGTGCCTTTAATTATTGTGATAAATGAGATTTTTTTTAATTCCTCCTAAGAGCTGGTTTGAGTGCTCTTCACGGGTGACTGAGGAAAAGATGTACCCCAATACCTCTCAAGCTCCCCATGCCATCTGTTTCCCTAAGTGGTCCTTTGGGTGAAATCAATTGTGAACTACCCCTACCCTCACTCCCCCACCCCCACCCCTGCCTCTCCGCTCCAGTGTGCATCAGCTTTTGAGAATCTTGAGGTGTGGCTGGAACCAAGGGTCGCCTTGCACCACTAGCTCCTTCCCCGCCTCCTCCTCACCCACCCTTCTCCTCTGTCCACTGGTAGCACTAAGCCTCCTCCTCTCAAAGCCCAAGAGTCATAAAGATGGTTTAAAACACCTGGCTATACTCCTTACAGTGACTTTCACAAATAAGAAAATGATTTGTGGAAATTGCTCAGTAAAACTGGGTCAAGACCTGGATTTCCTGGTCCCCTAATAATCTTCCCTGGTTTCTGTTGTCTGCTGTCTCATTTGTGTATCATTGAGGATCACTGGCCCCTCTTTTTTGCACTGTGATTGCCAAGAGAAAGAGAGAGAGAGAGAGAGAGAGAGAGAGAGAGAGAGAGAGATTATATTTTACCCACTTTGCTTTTCCTTAACTTCAAACTAGCAAACTTCCTAGACAACAGAGTCTTTAAAGCCTGGATTCACACACAGCTCTGTTGGAAGCAGCTGTGTAAGCTGTGTAACCTCGGCCAGGGGACACACTCCAGCCCTAACTTCATCTGCTCCGTTCCAGAACAGTGGTGTGCTGGCATTTCTGGCCAAGGAAGCATTAGAATAGAGAGCCCAGAGACCCTCCACAACTCTAACACTCACACATTCTGACCCATATACCATAATACATAGAACCAAACTTAAACGTTAAAGGCTGATGGCAGGCATAGTGGTGCACTTTTAAGCTTAGCACTTGGGAAAGAAGAGGCAGGCAGAACTAGTGAGTTTGAGGCCAGCCTAGGCGATACAGCTCTCATAGTCTCAGGAGAGCCAAAGGCTGCATTGTTAGGCCCTTTCTTTAAGAATCTTTTAATTTATTTAATCCATTTCTCAATCTCTACCATGTCCTAGCTACAAGCCCAGCAGAGAAGAGTCAGCATCTGGGTCCTCCCACGCAGTGATGGATATCTCTCTGCCAACTGGAATTGGAGCAAACCAAGAAGATTTACGTGCTGCAAGTGTTTTCTTTGAGATCCAAGTTGGTGTTGGTTTTGATTGTTTGCCCATCTATTAGGGTTTGCTTATTTGTGTTTGTTTTGTTGTTTCTGGTTATTTTTTGTTTTTCTACTTCTTAGGTCCTTATTGTACCAACTTATAGTTAAACCTTTGGCTGCTGGTTTATCTTTTGCCTTATGTAATGTTTCACTTCATGAAAGAGGTGCTCAGGGATTTATTGGGCTCATGCTTCAGCTGAGTGGTGAGGCATAGGCAATGGGGAAATGCAATTAAACTCAAAGATGGGAAAGTAAAATCAAGCTCTCTCTCTCTCTCCCCCTCTCTCTGTCTGTCTGTCTCTGTCTCCTCTTTCTTCCTTAGCTTGTAGAAGGAGTGGATCAACTCCTAAATGATTACCAGATCAAAGATGGCCATGTTATTCTGCAACTGAATTCGGTAAGCTTGGCCTCCTGGCATCCCCTCCTACCCTCACATCTTTCCAGCCTGAGCCATTGTGAATCACTCTCCCCCACAACTTCCTTACAACCTTCAATGTGTCAAACAGATTCCCTCCAGAGATTTCCTTTGTGTCCGCTTCCGGATATTTGAACTTTTCCAAGTTGGGTTTCTGAATCCTGCTACCTTCACGGTGTATGAATATCATAGACCAGGTAACCAGCTCTACTCCACTCTGAAGTCTCTGCTGTGTTCCTGTAACTTAAAAATCAAAGGAAGTCCACACGTTTTACCAACTGCTGTTCTTAGAGCCACTTAAGAAAGTCCAGCCTGAACACTCCCTTTTAGATACTGCATTCAAATGACTTCATAATCAAGCAATGGATTCATGTGTCATTGTTCAGCTTCTTCCTTTTTAAAATAACTGGACTATATAACTAAGAAATGACTAATGAACAGTAAAATCCCAAGCACAGAGCCAAAATAACAAGGTGGAGGTGGGAAGGTTCTTCGGGAACAGGGACCCTTCCAGGACAGCCAATTCATAATTTAACCCCCTTGGGCCTGGAGCTATAATTTAAAAGATTGACAAAGACAGTCAATCTTTTTTTGTTTTGTTTTGTTTTGTTTTTCAAGACAGGGTTTCTCTGTGTAGCTTTGGAGCCTATCCTGGCACTCGCTCTGGAGACCAAGCTGGCCTCGAATTCACAGAGATCCGCCTGCCTCTGCCTCAGCCTCTGCCTCCCGTGTGCTGGGATTCAAGGCATGCGCCACCAACACCGGCGACAGTCAATCTTTTAAATTGTAAAAGACTCAATGACTACATGTGTTGTGTATCAGCCCAGCCACTTCTTGTGACCGTGTCTCCTTTCCCACAGACAAGCAATGCACCATGTTTTATAGCACCTCTGACAGCAGGCTTCAGAGAGTTTGTGAAGGAGCAGCATGCAAATGTGTAGAAGGTAATTGCCTGTTTACCCTGCCTGTCCCTGTCTTAAGGGAATCTTGGGAAGCTGTTTGGCCAAACCATAGTTTCTCAGAAGTAGATATGTAATCTTAGATGACTGAAAAGTAATGACTCCCTAAGATGCTTCCTCACAGCTCCCAAACACCTTGGTGGGACCCTATACAAAAGCAGAAGAAACTCCATCGAGATGGCTGGTGGGTTTCCTGGGGGACATAATAGTTTCTTTTTTACTTTCACCTAATTTTTTTTAGCAAAGGACCATAGTCAAAGAGAACAGAATGCAGGACTAGCCCACCAGGCCTTCCTCTCTCTCCTAATTCTAGTTAATGGAATTTTCTGTCACTTCTCCAAGTTTAACTTGAGATCAAAGGAAGCCTTTTTGGCAACTCACCAAACTCATCAGAAATCAACATCATTTCTCTGAGTCCAAGTTGGTGTTGGTTTTGATTGTTTGCCCATCTATTAGGGTTTGCTTAATTGTGTTTGTTTTGTTGTTTCTGGTTATTTTTTGTTTTTCTACTTCTTAGGTCCTTATTGTACCAACTTATAGCTAAACCTTTGGCTGCTGGTTTATCTTTTGCCTTATGTAATATTTCACTTCATGGAAGAAAGAAAATGGACAGGTCTTAGGGATCTAGCATTTGTAAAAAATGATCCCAGATTGTCTCAGGGCTCATTGGAGACTGTCTACGTGCACAGTGAGTGCCTGCTTCAGTACAGTCAGCTAACTCTCAGCCACTCTCCACACAATCTAGCTGACTGTGGGCAGCTGCAGGTGGAACTGGACCTGTCCATCTCTGCAAACACCAGGAAAGAAACAGCATGTAAACCAGAGATTGCATATGGTAAGTGAAGACGTTCAACAGAGTTGACCATGAAATTTCATCAATACATGTTCAGTTAGAAAGATGGAACACTGCACATTAGTGACATTGTGTGGATACAACATTTTTGGGGGGGGGGTCCCTTGAAGGAAAATGTCATTTCCAAGTTGGGTTTCTGAATCCTGCTACCTTCACGGTGTATGAATATCATAGACCAGGTAACCAGCTCTACTCCACTCTGAAGTCTCTGCTGTGTTCCTGTAACTTAAAAATCAAAGGAAGTCCACACATTTTACCAACTGCCGTTCTTAGAGCCACTTAAGAAAGTCCAGCCTGAACACTCTAAGCCCCCATGCTTCCTGCTTACACAGAACCCATTTAGAATCAAGGTATATTGACAAATTTTTGTTTCTATATATTCAAGCATGCTAGGAGCAGGTGAGAATATTGGGACAAAAGAAAGGGGTTGTGATTGCTGAAGCTAACTATTCTCGCTCATCTGAACTCACTTGAAAATTTTCACTAACAAAATGTTGTAAAATTTAAGAGCCAGTGTAGCCTCACTGTTTTCTCTAACAGTGGCTGGCTTGAGGTTGCTGGGGATGTGACTCAGGCATTGCTACAACAGGGAGCTGTATCCCTGGATAGTCTAAAAAAACTAGTCTGAACTAGTGTATTATGCTAGAATCGATGTTACTAGAAAAAGTTATGTATGCAGCAATGATATATACTTTACTGACAGGTTCAAGAGTTCTTCAGGCTTTAACTGTTCAGGAGACCGTGTCACAGTTTAATAGCTGAATAATGGCACTTAATATTACAACAATGAGTCAGGTGCAATCCCTGACATTTCTCGTGTGTCTGAGAACTAAGACATGTGGAACAAAACACTGGAGTAAAAATTCAGGTGTCCGTGCTGGGGGTTGGCCCAGTGAGTAAAGTACCACTGCTCAAGCATGAGGACTAGAGTTCAGATCCCCACCACTCATAGATAGCCAGATACAATGATGCACATCTGTAAGCCCAGTGTTCGAGCTGGGTGTGTAAGCAAATGGATCCTGGCCACCAAGTCTAGCCAAAATGGTGACCCCTTGGTTAAGAGACCTTGTCTCCAAAACTAAGATGAAAAGTGATACAGGAAACATCCAAAGTCAACCTCTTGCCTGCATAAGCACATACATATAGACCAGAGAGAGACCGAGTAGGGGAGGGAGGGAAGTGAGAAGAGAGGGACGGGAGAGGGAGAGATTGGATAGGTTAAGGCATAAAGATATGAAAGAAGTGAGGGAGGGGCTGAGTAATCAGTGTAGAAGACCCTGAGTCAATCTCTGTTACTGTTACTACAAAGGTAGACAAGCAGGGCTTAGCTGATACTGTGAACCCAAACATATGTGAAACTCAACAGGCTCAACATGGGGAAGATTGCATGCTGGGTCGAAGCAGCATGTCCTGGCTACTTCTGAATCCTTTAGTATTCTCCAAGTTATCTTCCATAAAACCTGCCGTGCCTCCACATCATATGCTTTTCCAGAAAGCTGACCATTGCCAGCTACCAAATTCATCCCTAATTATGTATATAACACCTGGAGATAAATACTGCACAACTGTTGAACAGCAATCCTGGATCTGAGAAGTAATAACACTTAGTCTTACTTTGTCCTCAGCACTTTTCATGTTAGCCGTTTAATCTCCCTATAGTTCTGCAGTAATATTGTCATGCTTATTATTCAAATGAGGGGACTGAGCCCTTACTACAGGGAGCATGAACCAGTGACCAGAGCCACACAACAGGAAGTGGCACTGGTGGGGTTTAACCCAGACAGCCTGACTCCAGAGTCCCCCCTCAGTCACAGGGGGAGTATAGTATTAGCTATTCGCTATTCAACAGTATTCGCTATTCGCCTCTCATGGCCATGAGGAACTGGGCAGCACAAGAGAGTTTGTGACTCTAACATTAGAATGTGGCTATGATAGCACTCCTGTGCGTCTCTTAGGTGATGCTGCTGCTGAGAAGGACTCTGAAATCACCTTCATTAGAAAGATGAGCTGTGCCAACGCTGATCTGGTGAAAGGCAAGCAGTACTTAATCATGGGCAAAGAGGCTCTGCAAATCAAACACAATTTCAGTTTCCGGTAAGTCACCAGCATTTGTAGCCCCCGGTCTCTTCTCCAACCTGAGTGTCATTTTCTCTTAACTACACTGACATTCCATTTGTGCCTTAACTTCAACTAACAGTGCATTATGAGTATCTAGAATTCCACAGTGCCTAAAGCCTTGACTGAGAGCTGAGACATCCAAGTGACTCAACCTGATGAGGAACTAAGACAGTGTGTCCACATCCTCTAGTCACCTGCCCGCTCCCTCAGTGTGCAAAGAGTCCTAACTGTAGAGAGAAGAATGTTTAAATACACACCTTATTATCTGGACAGAGCTGGGCTTGAAGGCAGAGAGCACAACTTTGTCAGGAAAGTGCTTGCTATGCAAGCATAAAGAACCGAGTTCAAGCAAGGACCAGAATCAACATTCAAACAAAATAGACATTCAGGACTGGAGAGATGGCTCAGTGATTGAGAGCACTGGCTGCTCTCCCAGAGGCCCCAGGTTCAATTCCCTACACACACATGGTGGCTTCAACCATCTGTAACTGTAATTGTGGGGGAACTAATGCTTTCCTTTGGGCTCTGCAGGTACCAGGATCACATGTAGTGCACAAACTTTCAGTCAGACAAAACACCTACACTCATAAAATAATAATAAAAAAGAATTTAAACAAAAGCCAGGCATGGTGGTGCACTTGTAATCTCATTGCTGGAGAAATGGAGACAGATGAATCCCTGGGGCTTGCAGGACAGACTAGCATACCTACTTGGCAAGTTCTAGGCCAGTAAGAGGCTTTGTCTCAAAAAATACAAATGTAGACAGTGTCCAAGGAACAGCACCCAAGGTTGACTTCTGGCTTCTACATGTACATGCATGAAAGCACACACACACAACACATTCACACACACTCATCCCAAGGTTGACTTCTGGCTTCTACATGTACATGCATGAAAGCACACACATACAACACATTCACACACACTCATACACACACACCACATTCACACACACACAAACACACACACACACACACACACACACACACACACACACACACACACACACACTTGCCCACATCTGATCTCTTCCCAAGGAAGAGCTTTCCTCTGGCTGTGGCTGGCCTCACCAACACTGTTTCCATTTTGCCTTGACAGGTACATCTACCCTCTAGACTCCTCCACCTGGATTGAATATTGGCCCACAGACAGGACTTGTACATCATGTCAAGCATTTTTAGCTAATTTGGATGAGTTTGTTGAAGACATCTTTTTAAACGGCTGTGAAAATGCCTGAGGAAATTCAGCTGGGTCACTTTCCCTGTGGACTCCTGTTGGTGGCATTCTCTTTCCCCTAGAAGATAGTCTTATTTGGAAACTTATCCCAAAATTCACTGCACTTTCTTTTAATAAGGCACAAGTTGAAGTTATGACTTTGTGCAATAACAGAGCTTTGTGGGGACATGAAGACAGGTCCCCCAAAGTTGTTGGACATCGGCACCAATAAACTGAGCAACACTGAACACTTAGCAGTTGGGAGTGATTGTTGGGGCCAGAAAAAGAGTCCCCTGAAATGTAGCACCCTATAAAACATAGCCTTTACTTGAAAGAAAGCAAGGGCAGAAACTTGGCTTTGCACTCAACTGTATTAAAAACTGTTACTTTGTCCTGACTCAGCTTCAAATACACAGAGGGCGAAAAGGCAATAGAGAACCTTGACCCCAGAAGTCCACCCCCAGAGGCCTCCAGCTACTGAGAAGGCAGAAGAGTTGTTCTCTGTCAGCTCCCTCTCCCACTCTCCCTGTGCCCCTGACAGGAAAAGTCTCCACTCTCCTCCCTTCCTCCCTCTCTCAGCTCCTGTCCATTTCCCAGGGAACTCATTCTTGCCAGTAATTGCTCTACCAGAAGGCAGACCCCAGTGCAAAAACCCAGAGAAAGGAAACCAAAGACTGTCGTTCTGGCCTGGACCTAGTCTCTCTCGGATCCTAAGTTTGTGCTTTATACAGGAGGTTAAATTTCAAGTGACAGTGCATTAGGTCTCATGAAAGAGTTCTAGATGTCTGTTTTTGTTCTCAGACTTGCCAGAGTATGGAGATGATTGTTATCCCCATTTCACAGCTGCCAAAATGGAGGCTCCAAACATGAGCAATTCCCCAGCCTAGTGAGAGGCAGATCAGAGATAAAAGCTTACGTGTGTCCCCGGTCCACCCCTGAACAGCCCAGGCTTACACTGGATGATTTCCTAAGATGAAAGCAAAATGTAACCAGAGCTTAAGCGTAGTTAACTATGCCCCACTGAGTTAACATAAGAAATGTGTAAATAGGTCAGTTGATGTCATGGTAACAAGGACAAAAGGAATCTGCCTTTTACCAAGTCAGTGGAAATATCTGAACCTTCATAACTTGTCTCATCAATGGCAGGGACTTTTCTACTTCCAGGAACTGCAGACTTTTGGGTGTCAATGCCAAAAAGATGCCTAGCTACACAGCATATGACCAAGATGCCAAGTGAGAGCAGAGGGGCTTCAGCTAAGCACGCCTGCATATGGCTCCTGCCTCTTCGTGATGAACAAAGGGTAAAGGGGCCTGCTTCTGAGGCACAAGCTGTTGGGCTCCCATCCCCAAGAGTGGTGGCAAATGAACCAGTTTAATCCAGAAACGAAGCTGGGTTGTTAATAGCTCTTCTGCTCCTATACCTTCCAAGCACACTTCCTTAGTCATAACCAGGCCAAATGCAATTCTCCTCCAAGACACTTGTACACCGTTTCGATTTAATCATATAGAATTGTATAGCATGTGCCACCCTGAATCCATAATGAGCTGTGCATGAGCAAGGTCTATAACCACTCTATTTTCCTTTATTTCCAGGGCCTTGCACAATGCCCAGAATTTGACAGGGATCCAGGAAGCTCTTGCCTGTGGGCTCTCACTGACAGAGAAGAACATGAGCATCCAAGTTCTAGATTTGGCTTTGCCCCTCATTGGTAGATTAAGCTCCCTTAATCTCTCTGTTGGGGCCTGGAGGGATAGCTCAGCTGTTAAAGGCTAGGCTCACAACCTAAAAAATCTCTCTGTTGGTCTGGAAAACAAGGGACCTGGCCATTCTGGTCATTTCTATCTAAAGCACTAAGATCATGTGATAATCTCAGATGAGAAACAGAAACAAAACCAAACGCATGCACACAATGAGTTATGTATTTCTGTCTGTAAATGTGAAGAGAGCTGAAGGTGCTGTCTGGGGCTTCCTAGAGAAGGATGTAGGGACCTGGAGGGGGTGGGAGGCAGGAGAGTCTTCAAAGCTGAGGAAGACACCTAAGCAAGTTACTGTGGAGGTGGACCAGAACACCAACAGTTTCTATGTTAGAGCTCTACAAGAGAGTCCTGGGAAACAGGCGGCATGTCCGAGTCCTGGTTTAAAATCTCCCTTTGCCATAGGTGTGTCCAGAAGTAACTCTAATGAAAAATATTAAGCAGAGGTCTAGATTTTTCTTAAGGAAAAGCCAGTTTGACACATAAATGGTTGAGATGTAGGAAGCTCATCTTAGGCTAGAGAAGCCAAGAAATTCACTTGCCAGAATTTGTAAAAAGCTGGGAGTGATAGATACCATGCACTGGTGACCCCAGTGCTGGGCAGGTGGGGACAGGTGGGTTCCAGGAACTCTCTGGACAACCTCCCTAGACTATTTGATGAGTCTCAAAGCTTGTCTTAAAAAGAAGGAAGAGGAAGAATGGAAGGGTGGATTCAATAAGCATATTGCTTGCTCGTCTTTGCCATGGCTGGATCTGAACCTCAGTAGACATGTCAGCCATTCCAGGTCATATGGCCTCTGTGGCAGCTGCTCAACAATCGTGATGTGCAAATGCTCTGACACTAACACACAGGGAATGGGTATGAGTGTGCAAGATGGTTCTGAAGGTGACCAGTGGGCAAATGTGCTGAGGAAGTTCATGTCTCTGAAACTCGGGATGGAAAGGATCAATTGTATCTCGAAAGGAAGATGATTGTTTAGAAAGAAAGTGAACAGACTGTGGGTTATAATGCACTCTCAGTGGGAAGAGACCACTGGAGGTTTCCAGTCAGGAATCTAAAGGGGGGGCAGGTCAGCCTGGGTACTAGGACTTTCCCAGCCACATTCATGCTCTTTTC